AGATTTAAGCTATCCAGAAATTGAGTTAAGTTTAAAAATTGAAGCAGAAAATCATTCTCTTATCTCAAAGAATTTGTCTCTTTTTTTGTCTTTTGATAAGTGAAATCATAAGGTGGTTTATAAGGTGTTTCAGGATTACAAAGGAGTCATATACATTATGACCCTAAGCAACCATGGTCCATTTGTTTTCATACTCCTATTTGAGCTATCTCAGAAAAATGAGCATTTAATGTCTCAATTTATTTGTTATAGTGTGTGTGTGTGTGTGTGTGTGTGTGTGTGTGTGTATGTGTGTGTATTGAGGTACTCGACTCCCAGTCAGAAAAAAATCCGAACAAGATGGAGTGGTTGGCAGCATCTTTCCCTTCTCATCACTCCTTAATTTCCTCTCTCTTTTGATCCCATTTCACTTTGAGGTAGTAATGGTTTATTATTATTATTATTATTATTATTATTATTATTATAGTTTTTTTAACTTTTACAAAAACTTTATTGAGAATTTCATACATGCTTATAAGGTGTTTTGATCAAATCCATGCCCACTCCCTCACCTCCAACATCCCCCCCCCACAAGAGGTAACCCTGAAATCTTTTAAGGATTAAATACTAGCTCCCAAATACTTTTGACATTTGGAACAGAATGTGTTGCTAACAGGCCCAAGGACATTTTGACTTTTACCCAAGAAACTGGCTACATTTCTTTGGGGTCTTTTTACCCTAATCGCCTAGCCAATTCCTACCTCCTACTCTTATCACGCCATCCTTTGAAGGAGTTACCCAAATTGCCAGTAGGGAATTGGGATGCAGACTGCTCTGGCTTCTTCCATGCTGAACAGGGATACAGGGTGAGGCAATTGGAGTACTCCTTCAGTGGGTCTATCGAGAAGACTCCCAAATTGCATAACTTTTGTCTCTAAGGGGAAAAGAAAGTCTTTGAATCATGAATAGGCGATGTGAAGGAGAAGTAAAGGCAAGAGTAGTTAGCATTACAAGTTCTGGAGAGAGAACTAGGAAAAAGTCAGAATAGGGCAATTTTCAAATGTTCATATGAGAGTCCATTGGAGTTTCTTGACAAGGACTTCCAAAAGCATCCCTCTATTGGGTTCTTCCTCATTTTTCTTTTGTCTTCCAAGGCTGGGCTAGTTGGCTGGGAAGAGTGGCTGGATACTCAGGTGAGGGTCTAGTGACCCTGTTTGGCACTCCTTTAATGAATGAGCACAGCCGTCAACAAGCCCAATTGTGACTGTTTAGCGATCAGGCTCAGCCTCCATCATGATGATGGTAGTTATTTCATGCACAAGGGACTGCTGTATAGCATCATCTTATTAAAAGGACCTGGAATTTAAAACGATTTGGTGCTAGGAGCCACATAGGAGCCACATTATGAGGAGAACATATGCCATGTTTTTTTTGTTTTTTGGGTTTTTTTTTTCTGAGTCTGTGTTACTTCACTTAGTATAACAGTTTATAGATCCACCCATTTACCTGCAAATTTCATTATTTCATCTTTCTTTAGGGCTGAATAGAACTCCATTGTATAAGTATACCACATTTTTTTAACCACTAGTCAGTTGAGGGGCAATTAGGTTGCTTCCACCTCTTAGCTATTGTGAAAAGAGCAGTAACAAACATGGTTGTACAAGTGTCTCTACAATAGGATGAGTCCTTTGGGTATATGTCAAGGAGTGGTATAACTGGGTCATATGGTAGGTTAATTTTTAATTTTTTAAGAGTTCTCCACACTGTTTTCCATAGAGACTGCACGAATTTGCAATCCCACCAGCAGTGAGAGTTCCCCTTTCTCCACATTCTCACCATCATTTGGTATCATTTGTTCTCTTGATCCTAGCCAATCTGATTGGGGTAAGGTGATAACTTAAGGTGGTTTTAATTTGTGTTTCCCTAATTACTAACGCTGTTGAACACCCTTTGAGATGTTTCTTAGCCATCTTTGTTTTTTCCTTTGAGAACTCTGTTTAGATCTTTAGCCCATCTTTTAATTGGGTCATTTGGTTTATTGCTTCTTTGTTTTTTTGAGTTCTCTATATATTCTGGATGTTAAAGCTCTGTCAGATGTGTCACTGGTGAAGATTTTTTCCCATTCTGTGTTTTTTCTCTTCAATTTTTAAATAGCTTCTTTTGCTGTACAGAAGCTTTTTAGTTTAATGAGATCCCACTTATTGACTGCTGACCTTGATTCCTGAGCAACTTCTGTCTGATTTAGAAAATTCTTTCTTACACCTATATCATGTAAGTTACTGCCAATATTTTCTTCTCATAGTTTCAGGGTTTCCAGTTCACATTGAGGTCTTTGATCCATTTGGAGTTGACTTTTTTGCAAAGTGAAAGAATGTTTTTAGCAGACAACCAAGTGAAATTTGGGAGCCATAACCATAACATATATGGAAGATGAGACCTGTGAACCAAGAACATAGAAGGAGCCAGAGAGCCCTCAGTAAGGAGAGTGTTTAGTCTCTAAGGGGGGCCAGTGAGGCAGGCAGGACAAGGAATGAGCCCAAAACAGAACCCAAAGGCCAATCTCACAGGGTTTAGGGACTTCGGTTATTTTTCTCAGTGTCACAAGAAACTCTTGGATAGTTTTGATCAGTGAAGTAGCTTTTGTGATAGGATGTCCACGATTTCTCTGTTTCTTTTCTTTTCTTTCTTTTTTTCATCATTTTGGGATATGGTCTCCCTGTAGCCCCAGCTGGCCTGGCACTCACTATGTAGACCAGGGTGGTCTTGATCTCACAGAGATCTTCCTGCCTCTGCCTCCCAAATTCTGGGACTAAAGACGTGCACCACCACGCCCAGCTCTGTTTTCTTTGTTTCTTAGGATGCAGATGAAATTTAAAAATTTAGCGTTTTAATCATGTTCTACTTTCCTTTCTCTTGTTGTGATAAAACACTCTAACCAAAAGCATCTTAGGGGAGAAAAGTATTTATTTCATCTTCTGACTCCAGGTCACAGTGCATCATTAAGGGAAGTCAGGGCAGGAATTCAAGGCAGGAATTTAAAGTAGAAACCGCCGAGAATGCTGCTTGCTGGCTCACTTGCTGGCTTATGTTTAGTTAGCTTTCTTATACAGCTCAGGACCACCTGCCTAGGGATGGTGCTGCCCACAGCGGGCTGTATCCTCCTGTATCAATTAATAATTAAGACATCCCACAGACTGACTTGTAAAAGACAATTGAAAAAATTTTAGGTGCTTCTCGGCTGTGTCAAGCTGACAGTTAAAACTAACTTGACTAGGACAAACCCCAACACATTGTCATTGCTTTAAGGCTTTCTATTTTAACTTAATATTTATATTATCTATCTATCTATCTATCTATCTATCTATCTATCTATCATCTATCTATCTATCTATCATCTATCTATCATCATCATCTATCTATCATCTATTTAATGTATGTATGTATGTATGTAGGTGCACTGCATACATGAAATGATGCCTGCAGAAGCCAGCAGAGGGCATTAGACTCCCAGAAGTGGAGTTATGGACATGTGGGTGCTGAGAACCAAACCCAGGTCCTCTGGAAGATCGGTCAGTGCTCTTAACCTATGAAGCCATGTGAAAAGTTTTAAGCCAGTGGAAAGTTTTGGCCCTTATCTTTAAGCAGTGGATCTAGAAGGTACATACAACTTTATCTCATAGAGAATTGATGCAACTTAATCTCAGTCCTGATGATGTCCATCACTTCATTTGCGCTGCTTCTGTACCTGGTGACTGGATATTACTGGAGGAAAAGAAACTATTAAGATGGCCTCTTACCTCAGATTTGTGGTGCTGACCCAGCGTCATATCACATTTCCCACTCTTTTACTTTTTCAGAAAATTTTGTTTTTCTCCAAGACTCTGATACCTTCTCTAGTACCTGCATTCTTAGTCTAGACCATGCTTACTCTTTCACTGAGAAATAAAATCAGTAAGAAGAAAGATTCCAAATGTCCTATGGAAAGTCAATGTTCCAGGCTAAGTGTCTACCTCACCTGTGTTCTGCCCTGTTGTGGCAGCTGTAGCTAGCTGTCTAAGGCAACCTCTCCACATGGACACTAGATCCCATCCCTTCTTGTCTAGGTTCACATGACTTATCTCTTCCCCATCTTTCCTGTATCACATCCATCAGCACTCAAGAACGATACTTTTCTCCCATCTTAAAAATAAAGTGAAAAATGCTATCTGGATCTTGCCCCCTACTCTAGTTCCTAAAGCTGTCTCATAACAAAATTTCTAGAGGAGCTGCCTATAGTTCCTATCCACACATTTTCCCTCCCATTATCTCCCGAATTTACTCCAGGTGGGTGTTCACCTGCATCCATTCATAGAGAGCACCAGGGTCCTCGTGGTCCATCTACCAGCATCTGACAGTGGACCCCTCATCATCTTGAAGCACTTTTCTCACTTGGTTTTCAGGACCAAGAACCAGGGACAACTCCTGCATCTCCAGACAAGCCATCTCTGCCTCTTTTGCTGACTTCTATGCCTACCTGTGTTGAATATCCTTAGGTGTAGCCAGTGTGTGAATTCCTGGTCATTTCCTTCATTTTTTTTTCATATTTCTTTGTTAGAAAGAACTTGCATGCCAGGCAAGTATCTCCCACTCAACTACATCTTCAGGCTCCTGATATTGTCTTCAGATGAATTCTTAGTATTGCATCTGGGGGAAAATCACAGGTTTTCCCTGTAATTACAAATCAAATATGTGAATAAGAAAAATCTGGAAAACAGAAAAGTACAAAGTGAAAAATCAAAAAGAGTCAATGATAACCTCATTTTCCACATATTACAACTTTTAACATTTATTCTTTCTTTTCAGTCATCTGTATATTTATATATGTGTCAGATGTGTATTACTATATATTCACATATGTAAGTGTACAACATCCACATACAGTGCTATATGAAAATATTACTGTAAGTTCTGCATTTTTGTTGTCAGAAAACTATGTTTTACCTGCTACATGTTTATAATAGGAATTTCTGTTTTCTTTGCAGGCAACTGATTAATGAATTGTAGAAACCATATTTTAGAGCTCAAGAAAAATATGCTACATTTGAAAAACAAAAGTGAAAATAATCACCAAAGACTAGTGAAAGTTTTGAATCAAATGAAAGTTATCAGACAATTCAGGTGTGTGCTACTTTTATGAATCATCATTTGTTTTTTATAAGCTTCATTTTGGAAGGTTTATATTTAATCCTTCTGATTTTAGTTTGCTTTGCCCCAATACACAATCCAACCAGTACTGGTTCTTTTATTGTGAGAGATGGTGAAATCAGGTAAGACACATAGCCATTGCACTTACCCTCATCACTATAGTGACAGTGATTTTCCCATGTTTTCTCTGAGTTCCATCAATGATGGATTCAATAGAAACTCTGGATCACCTCTGATTCTGATTCTTTTTCTTCCTCTTGTGTACCTTCAATCAACCAACATATACTCCTTCTGATTGATCACCCTGTGTGTCTCACAGGTCTGCCCATCTTTTCCATTTCCATCTTCACTATAATACTGCATTAGTATGACCCTCCTGCCTTGTTTCCCCTTTGCAAAATTATGAAGGCCTTTCTTATGAATAGAGTTATTGAATGCTAAGGAGCTACAAAACAAAGTTATTAAATTGCAATTTTAATCACATGACATTAAAGTAACAGAGGAGCCAATTACAGCATGCTTCATTCTATTCCTTCACACAGGACTGATGGTTCTACTGGCCTCTGGTGTGGCTCATTCACAGTGCTACACATAAGTTAAATACTACTTTAAAATAGATATTAATAGTCCTTGAGCTAAATAATACAGTATTATGACTATGATAAGGCACATGTTTTTCTTGAGCACTAAGACTGGGAATGAATTTATTAAGCCTCATTTTAAAAACTGTATCAGGGGCTGGGGAGATGGCTCAGCAGTTAAGAGCACTGTCCTGTCCTTTCAGAGTTGATCTCCCAGCACTGTCACTGGGCAGCTCATAACTACCCATAACTCCAGATCCAGGGGGTTCACCATCTTTTTCAGACCTGCACACCACTTGCTTACATATACATACACACATAAATAAAAAAATCAATTTAAATTTTCTAGCAAAGAGAGAGAAATCTCCATTGCTGTAAAGTCAAAAGACCTCCATTTTTCTCTCTTCCAGCTAAGAAGAAAGAGGGGGCAGAGAAAGATAATGAAATGTTCTCTATCAGGATTGAAGATTGTTAGGGTTCCAAACAGCAGCAGTTTCCCCCATCCCCAACAGGGACCTCACCTTGACCTTTGGAGTCAAGGGAAACAAAGATCTCCAAAGATAAGATAAGCAGATTCTACCTGTTAACCAGAGATTTTAGAAGCTGTTAATCACAACAAGCTTCCACACCCTAATCCTACCTGCTTCCCCCTCCCTGATTTCTCCCCCAAACATTCCCCCCTTCCACACCCTAAAGCCCCCATATATAAAGTCCCAGCTCACAACCTGTGGGTGGACATCTTTCCCTGACATCTTTCCCCTTCCCTGACATCTTACCCTTCCCTTCCCTTCCCTTCCCTTCCCTGACATCTTTCCCTTCCCTGACATCTTTCCCTTCCCTGAGGGAAAGGTGCCCCATGCGAAATAAATCTGTATCCCGCTGAGAATTCCATCTGGCCTCAGTGCCTTCCTCCATCCTCCGCGCCGCCCGCTCCATCTCTCCAACATTCCTACCTATCAGATGGTGCCAAAAACCGGTTCTTATTTCAAGGGACCTCGCACATAAAACTTTCGGACTCGCTTGTCATTACTGGCCTCTGCGAATGCCACTGATTCAGCATTAAGGTACACTTCCACCCTCTATCTCTCTCCCCTCTCCCGTTCCTTTCAGCTCTCTCTCCCTCTCTCTCTCTCTCTCTCTCTCTCTCTCTCTCTCTCTCTCTCTCTCTCTCTCTCTCTCTCTCTCTCTCTCTCTCTCTCTCTCTCTCTCTCTCTCTCTCTCTCTCTCTCTCTCTCTCTCTCTCTCTCTCTCTCTCTCTCTCTCTCTCTCTCTCTCTCTCTCTCTCTCTCTCTCTCTCTCTCTCTCTCTCTCTCTCTCTCTCTCTCTCTCTCTCTCTCTCTCTCTCTCTCTCTCTCTCTCTCTCTCTCTCTCTCTCTCTCTCTCTCTCTCTCTCTCTCTCTCTCTCTCTCTCTCTCTCTCTCTCTCTCTCTCTCTCTCTCTCTCTCTCTCTCTCTCTCTCTCTCTCTCTCTCTCTCTCTCTCTCTCTCTCTCTCTCTCTTCTCTCCCTCCATTCACTGGCTATGCTGAGCTTCATCTAGGCCTCTCCATTCTTCTCCATTCCCAGCCCATCTCGGCCTCCAGGCCCACTACCTTGTTTCCTTCTACTTTGGCTCCTACTGGCTGGTCACACACCACATTACAGAATCTCTCCTAACTCATTTTTGCTCACTCGAAATCACAACAGTGTGTGGGAGGTTCCGCCCTGCCTTTGACTACAGGATGCTGTGGTCACTGGCGGGGACATGCACAACTCGTATTCCCCCCCCCCCCCAGTGATTGCAGGATGCTGCCCTGGGGTTCGGGAATTTCACTCAAATCAGCAATAGAAAAAAGGATGCTTTTCTTTTGTTGCCTGATTCTTCTCATTCTCATTTTTACGTGATCTAAGCCAAACCTTTCTCTTCCTGTTTTCTCTCTCTCCCACTCTCCCTCCTTCTCTCTCTCTCTTTCTCTCTCTCTCTCTCTTTCTCTATATATATGTATATTTTTAATGTGTTTTTGAGACAGGGTCTCCCTATAGCCCCAGCTGACCTGGAACTCTCTCTGTAGACCAGGCTGGCCTTGAACTCACAGAGATCCTCTTGCATCTGCCTTCCGAGTGCTGGGATTAAAGGCCTGCACCACCATGCCTGGCTGACTGCTTGTTTTTGATCTGATGGATCTATATGGTGGAAGGAAAGAACCAACCCCTGCACTTTGTCTTCTTACCTCCACACATACACTGTATCACATGCATGTGCATCTACCCCCACACAAAATAAATAAATGTAATTAAAACATTTTTAACATGTTAAGAAAAAGAACACTATGCTGTGCTCCCTCAAACTCCCTCTCTGCAATCTTCCCCCTCCCTTCCTCAGCATTCTGAGTCTGACACTCACTCTCTTAATTCCCCTTTATTTAAGGAAATCCAAAATCTTAAACACCTCATTCTGACTTCTACCTCAAATACCCCATTTACCCCTCCTGTATCTGTTTCTACTTCAATTCCAGACCCTGCCTCAGACACCCCTGCCCCTACAACCTCTCATGGACAGGACACCCCTCCCATCTCTCCCACTTCAGCTTCCTCCCAGGACTCCCCTTCTCCTTCTCCTCTGCCTCCTCCCAACCCCTCTTCTGTGTCAACACATACCCGTTCCCACACCCAGTCTCAGCCCCCTTTCCCATGGCATTTTTCCCCTCAGGGAAATGGCAGGCGTGGAAGGGATTGTCAAAGTCCATGTGCCTTTCTCTCTTGGAGATCTTTCTCAACTAGAGCGTAAAATCGGTTCCTTTTCCACTAATCCTACTCACTTCATACAAGAGTTTAAATATATTACTCACAGCTATGATCTAACCTGGCATGATCTCTTTATGATTCTCCAGTCTACCCTCACCCCTGATGAGAGACATAGGGTCTGGACAGAAGCACAGGAATATGCTAATGAGCTTCATTCTACTAACCAAGCTCACCCTATTGGCAGTGAGGCAGTTCCCCTTCAGGACCCTGGGTGGGACTACCAACCCCCACCAGGCGGTCAGACAGG